TTTCCAGCCAAGACTTGGTATACCTTTACCCAATTCCCTGACCAATGGTGCACTTTTGTTCCTTAAGGTGTTGTTGAAAAAATTCTAAAATAGGGAAGCTTTGTAGGCAATCCTTCTTCCTTTAGGGTTTTAGAGAGCTCAAAAATAAACTAGGGTTGATACAAATCCTATGGAACAAACTATGGTTGATATTGGGAGTTGATCTCTCTATAGTGGGCTTCTCTCTTTTTCCTTAAAAAAATACATCAAACTCTAGTACTAGGGTGTCACGTGCCTCATTATTTTTCTTTCACATGGGGTGGTGTGAATAGAAAAATAGAGGAGAGAGAAGGTGGTGTGAGATAGATCCCCCCACCTTTTGGTGCTTGAAAGAGAGAGAGAGATCTGCCACCCTTTTGGTGCATGAGGGAGAGAGAGATCTTTTGGAGTGAGAAAAGATCTTGTGATGGTTTCAAATACGTTCAAACTTGATCTTTAAATAGAAAGAAATTTAGAAGAAACCTATCTTCTCATATTGCCTTATCTAATTTCCCGCTAAACCTTTTTGAATAAATTAAAAATCTGTGGGGTGACAGATTTAATCTGAACCATCAACTCAAAAATCAGCCATCATGATTTTGGGTAGAAAGATTAGGAACCTTATCCCTTTACACTTTGACCCAATCCACTCCTATTTAAAAGATAAACCCAATCAAATTAAAATTTTATTTAAATCTCTCATTTAAGTTTGAAATCAAACTTAAATATTATTTAGATAAATATTATCTAGACTTTCCACAATATTGGGAACTATATCTCATTAGATTTCCTATATTTAGATTTAGCAAGTTTAAATTCAAGACCAAATATCTAGGAAAGTGGGTCGTGCCCCTTTCTCCTAAAATAGTGGCATGCTAAAAAAAAATTAGACTAATAAAAAATTTTGGGGCATGACCACTTCTCAAAAAGTGGCATGGCACTTTTTTTCTTAAAAAACTTTTCAATAACCCCTATTTCCCTTAAAAGTGGCGTGCCACTATTTTACCAAAAATAGTGGCATGCCCCCCGTAAAACGTCTTTCCTAAAAATTAGGGTGTAGCCCCAATTTTGTTAAAATATTTGGGCATGCCGCCTTTTAGCTAGAAAGGTGGCATGCTTCCCCCTTTAGCAAAAAAAAAGGGCGTGCCAAATATGACATACATAAATGGGGTGTAGCCCCTAGGGTGTACTGGGTGGCACATGTGGGGTTGGATCCTTGGTCTACGTGTTAGTTTTAAAGTTCTAAAATTTCAGAAATACCTTTTTATGAAAACTACACCAGAAATAATATTTTAAAATTCTGAAAAATATTTAAAAATCAAATAACTATTTCCAATACCAAAATAAAATATATTAGGAGTGGATTGGTACCAATGGGTCAAAATAAGTGACAATAAGGGCACTCCACTCACCCTAGGAATCATGTCCACTATTGTTTTCTTATCCAACCCAACAAAGTATCATGACCTACATTATCTTTGTTAGGGTTCATGATTGACTTGGCAAAATTAGATAATAAACAGTCGGACCATGATCCTGGAATGTGGATTTCAGTTCCCTCTTTACGATCAAGTCAAGCACTTGTCACCACAGGGCAAAAGGGGCTATCTCAATGCACATGTATACATGTCCCTCTAGAAAGGATTGCTTCCCATGCGGCTGTCATGTACATACATTGCGAAAGTTTGTTGAGGATTTGGCCCTTGCTCTCATAGGTCTACAACCACGCACAGGACACCACATAGTTCTCCTGGCCTACAAACATGATCCTTGGGCATGTCTCCGACTTCAACTAGCGATGACCCGCTGCAAACCCTTCTCGGTAGTGTCACATGCCTAGGGCCAAGGGTTTTGGACATGACCAAGGCCATAAATCGCCGAACCCTTGGTCAGTAAACACTCCCACTGAAATTCATATTTCACTATACGCATCATTTTTACAAGCTCTTTAGGCAGTTAAAGGCCACAAAAACCGACAAATATAACTAGGTGCCATGGCCAACCTCACTTCTAATATTTTTAGTCTTTAACCCTTCGGTTCATAAAAAATCATATTTGTATGATAATGATGGGCTGTTAATGTGACACCCCAAGTTTTATAACACTAAAATCCCTGAGACGTGACAGTCAATTCTTAAAGAACGACACAAATTTGAAATTTTTACTATATATTACACCAAAAGAAAATTTCCATATTCGAACTTTCAGATTTGTACAAAGTCTATTCACAACTTATAATTAACATGAAGATCTATATATATATATATATATATATACTAACTTTAATAGAACAAAAGTTACAAAGGTAGATTTATCCATGACTACAAACTTCTTCCAAACTACTCTTGTGGTACATACGAACAATACGGCTACAATTACTCTGAAAATAATTCGCAATAGTTTGATGGCTTTGGCTACTCAGTAAGTGACCATCATAATCCTAAAAAAAAATGTGGTTGGAAAATGTAAATATTTTCTAAAAAAATGCATATTATAAACAATATGAGGAAGAACATACATGGAGAATAGTTTCAAATTCAGAAACATACAATTTAACGTAATTCAAAAGATTTGAATGCATATTGAACCAGTATGAGGAAGTGCATATATAAATCCTTCAACAGAAATGCCCATTTTAACATGATTCAAAGAATTTTACAAAGTACCCTACTAGGGTCCCAAGTAGGTCATCTATATACCCCTCCAGCGTCTTGGATGAGTCCACTTAATCCCTATCGGCGTACCGGATAGGTCCACTCATATCTCACTAGCGTATCAGATGAGTCCACTTATTCCCTGTAACTGACGTCTTGGGTAGATTATAATTGTCTATCTGATGCTGCATTAGAGCAACTGTATTTTCTAAGGTTCTATGAATTCCTTCCATACTAGCTCTAGTTACACGGGATCTTGATATCGTAATAAGTATGACTTAGAGTGTATTTCCATTCAGATTTCCTAGGAATCCTAAACCTATTATTCTGATTCTAAACTAACTCCTGAAGTAGAAGTCATACCCATCGGGCCAATGAAATCTTGATGTGTAGAACTTTTACCATCACTATCAGGAGAGAGGCACCATCAACGTGTGAATCCATTGCGTATTGCCTCACACATGCACACAACCTCAACTCGTTTTGGGGCATTTGATAGGCACTGGCCTTGCAAGACACGACGCTCTCATTTGCCCTTCTGGCGAGAGACCGCTACACTACCAATAGGTCCCAATGAGTAGTGCCTCACATAAGTTTTGGGGGTGCGACCTCCCAAACACATACACTCCTAACTCTCATCCTATCATAGAGAGCAAGGATAAATCACAACTGCCGGGGCAATTATCTCACCAAATCATAACAGAAGCTTGTATTCATATGCACATATCTTTTCAGAAGCGTGTTATCATGCATCGATCATTTAACAAAAGCATGTTGCCATGTACACATATCTTTCCAGAAGCATGTCTCACATGTAATCACAAGAAACATCAACATGTCTATGCTATACATATAATCAAAATAGACATCACGATGTCATATTGTCACGCATATAAATTCAAGAGACATTATCATGTCAATAGCATGCCATTTATCAATGTAACAGACATCACTAAATATCAAGAAATAATAATATCGTATATTCAAAATATCCTTGAAATCATTAACGTGAATTCACATGAAGCAATTTATAGCAATCACTTTTCGCTGATATTTTCATAAATAATCAGTCAAATAATTTGGGCTATGGTTTAGAAAGGTAGCAGTTTTGAGAGACATTTTTTGGGATATAACAAGTTAAGCAGTCTATTCTTAATAGAAGAATCCTTATGGAAATCCTTCAAACATCTAAAATTCTCAACAATAGACGGAAATATCACAAATTTATCAAATATGGAGATATAAATTTTGAAATAATCATGTTACATAAATATGTAAAACTTAAAGCGTCGAAACCCAAATTTTTTAAACAACTTATTTTCAGGAAAAGTGGCCGCTTGCACATAACACTTACAGTATCTAAAATTTATGCTAGAAATATTACAATTAAATATAGAAATACGTAAAACTTACAGTATCGGAGATATTACAATTAAATGTAGAAATATCGGTTTTTCAAGTAATGATTTTACAGAAAAATGAGGTCACTTACCTATATGTCACTCTGAGATGGATATGTTACTATCGTTGCCAGAGTAGAGCAGGAATCAAGGGTGTTTAGTTAGAGAGAGAGAGATGGAAAATTTGATGAGCTTGATGATTAGCTCATGAAGGGGGAGGATAGTTTAAAGTGAGGGAGGCCACTCTTCCACTTGGCACATGTCAGGATATTTGTCCTCCATTTTTTTGTTAATTTCTCACTTTTATGTGCCCCTCATGACACATCACCACATATTATTATCTCATAATGCCACATCACCTCATATTATTATCTCATAATGCCACATCATACCTTATTATCTTAATTAAATATTTCTCTTAAAAAAATCATGGAAATGAAAGGTTTTGTAAAAGAGTGGTGCATTAACAACCCAATGAACCATCACTCTAAATCATTTCTTCATGAAGTATTTTGTTTTATTTTTATTTTATTATTATTACTATTATTATTATTATTATTGTTGTTGTTGTTCTTATTAGTATTCTTATTCTTGTTATTATTACTATTATTACTATTAGTACTATTATTACTATTATTACTATTATTATTATTATTATTATTATTATTATTATTATTATTATTATTACTATTATTATTATTATTATTAGTATTATTATTTTTCAGTTTCAAAAAAAATTAGGGTTATCACAGTTAATGATCCCATGTGGCTGCTATGGTGCTGACTTTCATTTGACTTGTAGTTTGACACTTTCCGGTTCTTATGCACTTACAACTGGGAACTTGAAACGACTTTGGGAATTGGAATATTATTTGTTCACGTTCATGCATATTTTATGTTTTCTACTAATTAATTGTTTTGCCTACAGGAACTCTGTGACAAATCAGATACTTTTAACGAGTTCAAAATTAGCAAAACGGCAAGGTGATGTGCACCATACTCTTAAATAATCAGATTATGGTGCCAATTTCTAGTATATTGTGGTTTATGGAAATTACAAGCCGTTTGATCTGCAGGGTGCATCTGATTCATTTTTTTCAATTGATCAAAGGGCTTCAGCAAATGAGCACTATACTGCCCATTGATAAACTGGTTGAAGCCATCATTGAAAGGTAGATGATTCATCTGAATGAAAATTTTAAGGCCAGCTATATTTTTTTGTAATGTCACCTCCACTTACATTTCTCTCTATTAGCAGTTATTCTTTCTTATGCAAGTACTCGTAACTGGCTTATCTGTGCTTACCCTGCGAATCCATTTTGGAACAGATGAGCTATGTTAAGTGATCTATGTTAAGTGATCAATGTGACTACCTTTGTTTCGTAGGAGGTTCTGATTGTTATTGCTAGATTGTTGTTTCAGCCTCCTCGTTGCATTTGGTGATTAGAGTCTTAGGTTTACACATCCTTAACTAATATGATTAGAGAAGCATGGGATTGGAATGTGTTGTGTAACAATCAAGAAACTAGGGAAAGCAAGAATACAGATTAAAAATTTTCAGACATGTTTTGCTTGCAAATTTAGAAGCTTTTAGGAAGAAGCTTTTATATTAGACGAATGTGATTTTAGAAATTCAAAAGTTATTTATTAGGATATTCTTTTAGAGGTAGAACTTTTTAAACAAATGTAGAATAATGATTTACAGGGTAAATTTTGAAAGACATCTTCATCATGGGATTTTTTTTCTTTCTTCACTCAAAGTAGATCATAAAAGTGGTACTTGGGACATTGCCTCCACAGATGTCAAATAAGATGAGTAAAAATAGATGGACTTTCTGGACATTCCCTTTGATACCCATACATGGATAATTATGTACATATTGTGTGTCTAGTAATACAGGACTACCCATTTGCATTACTAACCCATTAACAGATACACTTGAGGAACACTGTCTATTTGTATATATAAAAAAAAAGAAGTTTTTATTTCACATTCAAAGTGTTATGGTTATTTGGGTTGTGATAAGGTTAATTCTGAATGGAATGTGCCATGATGTTTTTTTTTTTAAATTATCACCATCATCATTATCATCATCATCATCATCATTACTATCATTATTTATTATTATTATTATTATAATTATTATCATTATTATACTTATTATTCATAATCATCATCATCATCATCTGCCAACTGCCTTTTTATCTTAATATGATCTTTTTAACAAGTGGCTGCTGGTTAGTTGATGAAATTTTGTACCTCATGTTGAACATGAGCTTGTGTTACTCGTTTCTTTGCCTGAAATAATTTGGTGGTCCATCTAGCAATTTTATCATTTCCATCATTCAGAACAGGTTTAAGGGACTACATAAAAACAACCCAAAAGGATGCTGAAACTTCCCGTAAACGTTTGGCTCGACTGTCCTATCTTAAGGTGAGTGTATTTGAAAATTTACGGAAATTATTAAACAACAAAAAACTATTGTCGTTGACAAATAATTTTCTCGATTGCATCCTGTCATGTGGTTTCTTATAATTCTCATCATGTATTCAAAGTGGAATTCAGTTCATGAGTCATGACCATTTTCTCTATTCTTTTGTCTCTGTTCCTTACTTTCTTTTTCTTTTTTCCTTAACACCTGCATACAGTGTCATGTGAAGGATGTGTAAAAGGTTTTTGCTGTATTTGGATTGAACTGCTGAGGAATTTAGATGCTTGCTTCATTGAAATTTTTGCAGTTTGATCTTTTTCATGTGCTTTGATATCAGTGGGCACAAACTCTACTCGGGCTCAGGACTTGTCCGCTATTTGAGTCTAGTGGTGGATTCTCCCGAGTCATGTACAAGCCCAAAGAGGGCTAAAAAGTTGGAAAACGTTGCAACAAATTAGAGAAAAATAAAAATATAGTAAAAAGCAAACTATAAACAGCATTAAGAGTATTAAAAAAAGGGAAAAAATTAATAAAAAATGGAATTTTTTAAAAAATTGATTGATAGCTGGAAATAATCCAGAAATCCAAAAAAGGGGAAACTAGAAAAATAATGCATATCATATGATAAGAAAATACTCAAGAGTCATCATAAAAAAAACATCAAAATTATATAAACAGATTTATACATTGATTTAGTAAAAAAATATATATACTTTTCTGATTCTTTTATAACCTTTTTTTTTATATGTCCGAGTTTGTACCCAAGACTCGGCACAGCAGGATGTTGAGTCTGAGTAAGTTGGTCATGTCCAAGTCTACCTTACTTGAACCGGTTATTGTTATTCAAAATGTATTGTCAATTGGGATATTGTAAAAAAGCAGTCGGTGTAGTCCAAGCTGCCCTTGTATTGTGCTGTTTTTACATAAGCATAATTGTTCTCACCTTCAACAACCATTCCTTTCATTTAACATCATTGAATCTGGTTGTACTCTCTTTCTTTATTTATTTGTGGTTGATAGTAATTCAATGATATCGATGACATGTATACAAAGAAACGCCAAAACTAAGTATAAGAACCATGATGCATTGAGGTAGTGCCCAGGATCTCAGAAGGGTCCAATTGATGTTCCCCCTTTGCTGAAGAAGTGTCCCATCGTTTAGATTTTCTCCACAAAATGTTCTAATTTCAAAAAACATTTGGAGCACCGTTGTGGGAGCACTTGAAAAAGACTAGCCAAATGCAAAGACTGTCCCTATGTGATAAGGTTAGTTGAGTCCCCTTCCAACAAAGAGAGAATAAAAATGGCAGATGCCCATGAGTAGTTCTACAACCTCTGCTTCTTGTGCATCACAAATTCCAACTGGCCCTATAGACATAAGTAAATTTGTGGGTTGAGGTTGTGGTGGTAGCACCACTTGAGCCTTGGCTACCAGTTTAGATTTCCATTCTCACTGACGCTTTTGAAAACCACTAATTATTTCTAAAAACGAGTTAGGACCTGTATTCCCCACTGATCTTCCAAAAAAAAAAAAATTAGGAAGGTTCTGAGTTGGTCTTAATGACCCCTCAGCATTGAAGGTTATCTGCCTATATATGCTTTTTTTTCGCATACTTGTAGATCACAACAAGAAGCCAAGATCTCCCATTAGTCTGCAAACACAGCAATGACATTTGTGAATCACCTAGCTCAGTGATTGACAAAATGATTGTCACATAATATCTGAAGCATTAAAGCTTGGTGGCTTAATCCAAGTGGAGTTAATCTCATAGCAAGACATAGCACAGTGCGTAATGGAACCATAAAAGATAGGGAGACTTTGTTACCCAGAAACCGAAACAGGTGTCCGTTTCTATGACGTTTCTAAGAGGGCAATTTTACTATCAGAAACAATGAAGAAATGTCTGTACAGTTGTTTGTTAAAGACTGAAAAATGAGAAAAATAAAAATAGAAGTATATAAGAATACACAGTACTTCCACGTAAACCATGACATTCCAATCTAAGACATAAGGTTGAACACATAAAGTTATAACCACTATGGTAACAAGTAACTAATGTATTTGTTTCACAGAACATTCTATTTATTCATTTCAATCAGCTTCTGTATTGCTTTGCGTTTTAAAACATTATGAAATGTACAGTTTCAAAAAAAAAAAAAACATTTTCAAATGTGACTGGGCAACCATTTTGGCTTTTTTAGGTGAAGGGGGAGAGGCCATTTTGATTTATAACTAGATTTTAGGGGGTGTAGTTCCATCCATAAATCCTTCCTATATCTTATTCGAAATACATTGTGTCCACTGGAGTTTACGTCTCTGTATGATGGCTTGTGTGTGCACCAACAGTAAGATCAGTGAGGAGTAATTTATTATTTCCTAGGAAGAAAAGTATACCCTTTCAACAGTATGTTCATTTGTAAGCAGGTAGCATGGCCGTTTCTTATTCGATGTATTAGCATTCACTAAGTTATGTTATGAAAAGCCTTTGAAGTTTTAATCATAGAGCAAACGGAGTGGCAGTGTGTGTATGAGCATAAAGCAGCAAGTTATCTCTGTATTTCTGATTCTGATGAATTTCTGGTGATTGCAGCCCTTGAGAGGGTGGATATCCGCAATGACAGAGAATTGAGTATCTATATGCTAAGCAGACCCTTGCTGATTAAATCTCTTTTGGACTCATTTTTATTGATCATTGATTTATCTTGCGTGAGAGAGTCCAGATTAGCTAAGATATCATAGTGTGTCCTAGGTCAACTTGAGGGAATTACCAGAACTCAAGGGTACATGTAAATTTGCCGCTATTGCATTTGTGCATGTGGATGCATGTGTATGTCATGCATCCGTCCTTTTTTTTGGTGGTGTGCGCTCTTATGTTCTTTTTAGTCTATCCTTTGCATGTTAGTTTGGTACAAAAGAACTATACACAATAAACTATGAAACTGTACAAGGTGCCTATAACCCATTGTTCAATAGCAAAAATATGTTTTGAATCTTATATTGCGGATATCTGTTTCAGAAAGATGTTTAATGATTATGATATTTTTCATGAACACTAAATTCTTACATGAGTATGTTCTAGATTCCAACGTCTTCACATTCTTTCACAGCTGCATTGCTTTGCTGGCTTCTAGTACTATTGGGTACCTAATTTACGTGAAATTCCTTACTAGCACTAAAGATGTAATGCTAAATGCTTGTTTCAATTAGGAATTTGCAGGTTCAGTAAGAAAGAAATATGGTATTGGAATTTCATCTCCGAAAGAGTTTATTAGAGACATTTCACTCATCCAAGAGAATGAACTCATGGTAATGCATCATTTTTTCCATTTTTTAATGTGTCATTTTTTCCATTTTTGATGTAGTGAATATAAAGCTGTATTTTCTATTATCTTCTTCTAAGAAAGGAAAGGTGGGAAATTAAATCACCTTTTTTCTGAACCTTAGACAAGTAAAATCAATACTGATGGAAAATCAACACTAATGGAGAAAGAATATGGTTGTAAATCAGGCCCAAGTGAAGAAGAATTTTCTTTCTTCAAAAAATAAAATTTATTCCAATGACACAAGCCTCGCAAAAGTTGAAATCCGACCTTGTATATGCCTTTAAAATCCCAAAATTAACTTGAGATCCAAATAAACATTTAAGATTCTAAAATACCCCTAACTATACTAAAATTTCAAAAATACCCATGTGAACTGTAACGCATGAACAATACCCGTGAACAATAAATAAAAAATAAAAACCATAAAAAACCCTAAAACCCCTAAAACCCCTAGAAAACTTAAAACTCTAAAAATAAGTCCAAAAAAAATAAATCAAAATATACATATTTTGAAATTAAACAAAGTTAAAAATTAAAGTAATTTTGCTTGCATCATTCTCCCCTGGTTGGAGAACACTCGTAATCAGGTTTTGAAGTGTGCTAAGATGAATTCAGCATGAATTTATGAATTTCTATAAAATTTCTATAAATGAATGAATTTTAATTTCTATAAATTAAAATTCATTTCAATAAGATAAGCCTCCCAAAATTTGACATCCATCCTTTTATAAGCCTTTGTAACTGTAAAATTAACTTGAGACCCTAGTAAATTTCTAGGACTTAAAAATGCCCCTACAACATTAAAATTCTAGAAATACCCCTATGAACACTAATGCATGAACAATAACTGTGAATTGTAAATAAGAAATAAAAAATATAAAAAACCCTACAATACCTAGAAAACTTTAAAACTCTAAAAATAAATCCTTAAACTAAAATTAAAATATACATCTCTAGAAGTTAAAAAAAATTTAAAATTAGAATAATTTTATCTTGCATCAGTATTTTTTTGGGTGATAAATTCTAGAGGACTACACAATTAATGACAGTGTGTTAAACCTTGACTGATCTCCATGGCTAAGGGGCTACCTCGAGCCATGGTGGATCCAATCCTTATGCTTGCATTGAGGTGGTCCGCCTTAGGGCTGCTTTTCTTGATGAGGTCACCTTGGCACCAACTCGACCTCCTAGGATTGCACATCCCACGCTTGATCCCTCAGTCAAATGTCACATGAGGGCAGAAAATGAATGCCCTCATGTGAGTAGAAATTGTCACCCCCCAGCCCCCAACCACATTTAAGGGGAAGGGAAAAGGATGGGCATGGTTTGATCTCCAAACCTCTCTAAATACCTCACTGCTTTTGTTTGTAGACATGGTGTTATTGCCAACCATACAATAACATTGTCATTTTCTAATACAAATCTCTCTCTCTCTCTCTCTCTCTCTCTCTCTCTTTCTCTCTCTCTATTTCATACAAGAAAAGCATACAAAGAAACTATTTACTTTTAATACAAGGAGGTCACAATCACTCATGCTCGTCTGATTTCAAATTGTTGGTTGTGAGTGTGTCATTAACTAGACTCAAAATTTACAAAAATTTCTCGAACTTTGTGACACACCCAAGCCATCCAATTTGGCATCTAATGGCTAGTAGCAATTGTGACCTCCTTGTAATAAAGATAAATTGTCTGATAGTATACAATCCTATATATATTAATATGCATCAATCAGAGAGATTTGGGGTGCCTTAGTGTTGCTATCTCTTTTTGTAATGGTGATCTTCCGACAATAAGAGAGATGATGGCAAATTAATAAGAGACAAAATGGCAAATTTGGTGGCCCCAAATTTCTCCCCGAGTCCCACTCACACACACACATACAAGGAGGGAGGGAGGGACTGGATATGCTTCTGATTTTTTTTTTTCTTTCTTTCTTTGTTCCTTGGATATCCAAAAATTCGTTTGGGATCAGCTCGAGAAAATGTGGTGTTGAATGGTCCATTAATGGAGGATGGGGTTGTGGGGTTGGGAATGCTTAGCAGTTTATGATCCAATACAAGCTAGTTGAAGGTCATTGAAAACCAAAAATGGCTCATTTTAAGTTGTTGATTTAGTGGCAAGTAGTTATGGATTCGCCAGAGCAAATCAACTTGTTCCGTTGGATTTCTTGTCTTTTTACTCTCCTCTCACGATTATGGAGCAGACTTAGTAGCTTGGAGCTAGGGTTTAGCAAAGAAGAAGATTAGGAAGATCCAAAATTAAATATCGATTAAAAAACCAAAGATAAAAGAAAGAGCATTGGCTGCTCTAGGGTTTTGAATAAAGTCCACAACAAGTGCTTCACTCTACTTGAGTACAACCCTTATATAAAAAACCCTAAACAAGATGTAATCTTGGCCATCCAACTAATCTAAAAGACTTTAAGTGAATAAAAATACATAAAAGACTCTAGAAATTTCTACGTATGCCTGTAAGTAAATAAAATAACTCAAGAACTAAATGAAAGACATAAAATGATATATTCAATGACCATTTTGCCCTTCTACGGTTCCTCTTGCAAGCTTTACGCCTGTCTCTCTGATCTAGATACTTGAGAGCAATATTCTGGGCTGCATCAGTTGAGCAACCTGACACAGACCTAGTAGCTTAGGGCTAGGGTTTAACAAAAAGATAGGGAAGATCCAAAATTAAAGAGAGATTAAAAAACCAAAGATAAAAGAAAGAGCATTGGGTGCTCTATGGTTTTGAATAAAGTCCATGACAAGAAGCTTCACTATGCTTGAGTACAACCCTTATATAAGAAAATCCTTAAACAAGACCTAATCTTGGCCAACCAAACTAATCTAATCGTGGTCATTTATTATAAAAAAAATTTAAGTGAATAAAAAGACATGAAAGACTCTAGAAATTACTATTTACGCCCCCCTAAGTAAATAAAATGACTCAAGAAACAAATAAAAAACATAAAAAGACAGATTCAATGATTGTTTTGCCCTTCTGCGATTCCTCTTGTAAACTTCTGGCTTGTCTCATTTATCTAGATACTCGAGAGCTGTGTTCTGGGCTACATCAATCCCTCCTTCCTCAAAATTATTCACCCTCGAATTCGGGCGGCTCTTCATCAGAGGTATCGCCATGATATGGAATACATTTAAAAACATCAGAAATGCAAATGTGGCTATGAAGCTTCAATTTGTAAGCATTGTCATTAATCTTCTGCACCATTTCACAGATTCAATCTTAGATTGGCTCAACTTATGATATTCAAAACAACTTGATCTGGAACCACAAACAAGCATAGGAGGGAACAGTCTTGAATCACTCCTAATCGTATGTCCTCGGAGATCTCCATTCACAATAACTTTGTAGGTAATCTCACTCTTATGACTTGTAAGTTTGAGCCTTGGATCCGCTAAAAGGAGATTGCCAATCTTGCAATGATCTGATGAGAGTGCAAAGATTAGAACCAAATCCATGTTTCAGAGTTCTAGTATGGGTGTGCTTAACAGTTTCCATGCTCCGTAATCTTCCACTACACCACTTTGATGTAGTAATACTAGCAGGGGCAAATTGAGAAGACCAAAACCATGAGTTTTTCATATCTTGGAAACATTGTAACTCAACCTTAAAGTTATATAATTCAAAACAAATGGAGGAACTTCTCTTAGAATGAAAGTACACAACATTATTGATCATAAACATACTCGAGGAAAACTCCTCTTAGAATGCAAGAAAAACTTTGAATCTAAGGCTTGCTCTTGCTGAATTTCTGAGATTGAGTTGCAAATATTAGGTTCCTTACATTTAGGTTTAGGTTTAAAAAATAAAGTAGTTAATGTTAAGAGAGAAGGTGAAAGGCTCCTAGTAATTAAAATTGTGTTAGGGGGAGGAGATAATTAACGTAATTAGTGCTTGTGCACAAGTAGGACTAGAAGGATAGAATTAAGAAACATTTCTGGGAAGACATGGATGAACTAGTCCAAGACAAAGGAGGGGCCTTAAATGGTCATGTAGGAAATGATAATGGAGGGTATGAAGGGATACATGGGGGATATAAGTTTGGTGAAAAAAATGAGATGGGAGGACATGGATGAACTTGTCCAAGACATACCAAATGGAGAGAGGACCTTTTTAGGAGGGTACTTAAATGGTCATGTAGGAAAGGATAATAGAGGATACGAAGGGATACATGGAGGATATAGGTTTGGTGAAAAAAATGAGATGGTTGAGGCTATTCCAGATTTTGCTATGGCCTACGACCTAGCAATAGAAAACACTTACTTTAAAAAACGAGATGAATATTTAGTAACAAATAAAAATATATCATATAAAAGCCATATAGACTTCTTTGTAGTTAAGAAGGTAGATCGACCATCATCTTATAAATAATAAATATTGTAACGTTGTCGCAGGAGAGAGTATAACTACACAATATAGGCTCGTGGTTGTGGATGTCTGCATAAAGAGATGGAAGAGGTGTGAAATTAATAGGTGTCCAAGAACTAGGTGGTGGAATTCAAAAAATGAGAAAATAGACTTATCTAGGGATTAATTAGTTAAAGAAAGAAAATGAAACTCTGAACATGAGGTCCATGTTATGTAGACTGAAGTGGCTGACTGTATAAGAAAGTAGCAAAAGAAGTTTTAGGAGAAACTAGAGGGAATAAAAATTCGATAAGGAAACTTGTGGTGGAGTGATGAGGTTCAAAAGGCCATTAGCGAAAATGATCACGTTATAAAACTTAGCAATGTCATACAAATGATAAAAAATTAAACGAATATAAAAATGATAAGAAAACGCTAAGCAAGTAGTAAGGCTAAACTTAAGGCTTATGATAATTTATACAAAAACTGGGAACAAGAAAAAGTGAAAAAAATGTCTTCAAATTAACAAAAATGATAGAGAAAAGTGTAGGAATCTAGACCATATTAAATCCATTAAGAGTAAGAATCAAAAGGTCTTGGTGAAGAATAAAGAGGCCA